TATATATATATTTTAGTAGAGACAGGGTTTCACCAGGTTGGCCAGGATGGTCTCGATCTCCTGATCCGCCCGCCTCAGCCTCCCAAAGTGCTGGGATTACAGATGTGAGCCACCACGCTGGCCAGCACTCCCTTTTCTCCACAACCTGACCAGGATCTGTTATTTTTTGACTTTTTCATAATAGCTATTCTGACTGGTATGAGATTGTATCTCGTTGTGCTTTTGATTTGCGTATTTCCAATGATTAGTGATGTTGACCATTTTTTCATATGCTTATTGGCCACATGCATGTCTTCATTTGAAAAGCATCTGTTTGTGTCCTTTGCCCACTTTTTTTTTTTTTTTTTTTTGAGATGGAGTTTCACTCTTGTTGCCCAGGCTGGAGTGCAATGGCACAATCTCGGCTCACCGCAACCTCTGCCTCCCAGATTCAAGCGATTCTTCTGCCTCAGCCACCCAGTAGCTGGGATTATAGGCGCCTGCCACCATGCCCGGCTAATTTTGTATTTTCAGTACAGACAGGGTTTCTCTGTGTTGTTGGTCAGGGTGTCGAACTCCTGACCTCAGGTGATTCGCCAGTCTCAGCCTCTCAAAGTGCTGGGATTACAGGTGTGAGCCACCATGCCTGGACCTTTGCCCACTTTTTAATGGGATTGTTTTTTGCTTGTTAACTTGTTCAAATTCCTTATAGATTCTGGATATTAGAGTTTTGTTGGATGCATAGTTTGCAAATATTTTCTCCTCTTCTGTAGGTTGTCTGTTTACCGTTGATTGTTTCTTTTGCTATGTAAAAGCTCTTTAATTAGGTCCCATTTGTCAATTTTTGTTTTTGTTGCAATTGCAAAGCCAGTATTTGAACCTGGATCGTCTGACTCCAGAACCCACCCTGTCTCCACCATGCCAGGCTGTCTGCAAGGTCCTTATTGGTTCTCCATGGCAACAGGGAAACAGCACTGAAGCTTCTTACTAACGTGGTCCCAGGGCCTCTGCTTGCATTCCTCTTTTTCCACACGCTCTGCCGAGCCTGGATTATACCTTAGGCTGTGGGAATCAAAGGCTGGGTGGTACCAGGCTGCTGGAGCCTTCTGTGTGGCTCTGGAGTCAGGAAACTATGGAGATTTGGAGGGGAACACAGGAAGAGATGACTCGCTGCTTATCTGAGAAGTTCGGACAAAGCTGCCCCTTGTGACCATACCTTGAATAGGGAAGAAATGGCCAGGTAGACCAAACATCCTCAAATGGGTTACTGTATTTCCCCCCCATTTCCCACTGTTCCTCTCCAGGGTTATCTATTACCTGGGGAGATCAGCCCTTACCTGACACCTCCTATTGTCATATACCTGGTGAACATAAGGGCCCATGTCACAGCTGCCCTTCCCACCCCGCCACATGCTCTGGAGAGCTGAACTCAGCAGCTCCTAGTCCACAGGAGAGAAGGCTCGGGCAGAGCCGGGGCAGCCAGGGGAGGTCATAACCACATGCCCACCTGGTCCCCAGCTCTTGCTTTTACACCCATGCCCCGCCAGGAGACAGCAGTTCTCCACTGGCCCTATTTACAGATGAGGACATGAGGCTCAGAGAGATGCCATGGATGGCCAAGGTCACGAAGCCAGGGAGCTGCAAAGGCCCGGGACAGCTGTGTTTTCAGTTGGGGTGGTATTCTCTACCCCTGCCCCCCAAGAGCTGAGACCAGTTACCCCTGCTGGGGCAGGGTCATCACTGCTCCACCCACACTCATCTCTGCCCTGAGAGCCCCAATACAGGTGTCCGTAGAATGGGAAAGGCTGGCACCCTTCAAAACACGCAAGGAGTATTGGCTGAGCACTGCCCAGCTGGTCCCTGCCACCTTCCGTGGGAAGCCCACCTGGGCGAGTTCTGAGAGCCTTCCCAGTGCTGAGCTGCAAAGAAATTTGAACCCTCTGCCCGTCCACTGCCGAGGGGACACGCTGACCAGGATGGAAGCTGGGGGACTGGGTGTGGGGAGAAGCCACCCCACTGCAGGGGC